GGAAAACCCCCCTCTTAACTGGATGAAGGTGAACATTGATGGAAGCTTTTTTAATGGTGATGCTGGTTTTGGAGGAGTGTTTAGGAACTCCAATGGGAAGTGCCTTATGTATTTCTCTTCCCCCACTTTTGCAACTGATGCTTTAGAAGCTAAAATGATTATCATTTATTGGGTTATCTTTATTGCTCACAGATGTAAGATGGGTCAACAATTGGTGGAGTCAAATTCCCCACATGTATCCAGATATTGAAGAACTTAGAACCACCTCCTTAGCACATCCACAAATGGAAGAGTAGAATCTTACCTTATCTTCAAGTCTCCCAAATTCTCTTTACTCGTATCCTAAGGGAAGGAAATGGGCCTGTTCACTGGTTGGCTACTTTGGGGAAGAACTCAAAATTGATTGATGTTGGAAATTCTCCCCTTCTTCTTTATCTTTTTTTGTTTCATGGGGATAATGTTTCATTTCCCCATCTCAAAATTTTGTAGATGTAACTTCCTTTTGCTTTAATATATTCTGCCCAAGGGATAATTTTTTGTCTATATATATATATATATATATCATGTAATCAGAAGGTCCTCACTACTATAGCTTGGCTTGAAATTTTTTTCAAACAAAAGGCTGCCATTAGTAAAGGTCCTCACTACTATAGCTTGGCTTGAAATATTTTTTTAAACAAAAGGCTGCCATTAGTAAATTCGTTGATGGGGACAAGAATACCAGATATTAACATGCTTGCTTCAAATATAGGAGGAAGTGCAATGTCATTCACAACATTGTGAATTCTCAAGGTATCATACTTCATGAAGATTCTGCCATTGCCACTGATGCTGTGGAGTATTTCCAGGGAATTCTAAACTCATCCTCTTCTCAGAGAACCTAGGTGGATGCATCTTTATTCCAAGAGGAGGTAGATTATGTCAACACACTCAATCTGGATTATATTCCCACATAAGAGAAAATCTGGGGAGCTTTTAATACCTTTGATCCTAGTAAAATTGTCGGGTCAGACGATTATTCTTCTGATTTCTATATGAAGTGTTGGAATATAGTAAAACTTTATGTCATTAATGCAATTCAGCCTTTATGAAGGGGGAATACTCTCCCTAATTCTTCAGTGCTTTTAATATAGTTTTGATCCCCAAATCTTCTGAAAAATCCCGTTGACAACATTTCAGACCAATTTCCCTTACCACTGTCTTCAGCAAGATCATTAGCAAAATCATAATGAACAGATTGAAGCCTCATCTTTCTAAATTAATCAGGCCCAATCAGACTGCTTTTATCACTGGCAGAAGCAACAATGATAGTGTATTATTGGCGCAAGAACTAGTGACTGAAATAAATAGGCCTTGCAAAGGAGGGAACTTAATCTATAAGCTAGATGTTAGGAAAGCTTATGACACCATCAACTGAAAATTCATTCTTGACATTCTAAAGGCCTGAAGGTTCCCCTCCACTTTCTATGAGATCATTTCCAGGTGGTTGCAAGGTAATGTTAACTCCATTCTTATCAATGGTAGGGCCCAAGGTTTTTTCACTGCTAATAGGGGCCTCAAGCAAGGTGATCCACTATCACCCACTCTTTTCATCTTGGTTATGAACTATTTCTCCAGGCTACTTGACAACATAATTCCTTCTACTTCCTCTAATTTGTTTCACCATAAGTCTAATCTGCCTAAAAGTCACCTCCTGTATGCAGATGATATCATTTTGTTTTCCAGGACCACTAAAATAGCTATTAAATAAGTTGCAGGAAATTTACAGAAAATTTCTAAGTCTAATCTTCTATCTCAATCAAGGATGCTTTGGAAGCTGAGGTGGTTGCTGTTTTTTGGGCCATTAAGTTAGCAGCTCTCAACAACTAAGGAAATTTACAGGATGAGATGGATTCCTCATTACTTTTAAGGTTTCTCACTGATCAAGATTCTTTTCCTTGGCACATTGCTCATTGGCTTAAGAAGATTAAGGCATTGAGGACTCCTTCTTCCATTCATTTTACTTTTATCTATAGAGAGGGCAATAATACTACTAACTGGTTGGCCAAATTTGGGAATGCTTCTAACTCAACTCTTGTTTCCAAAACCCCTTCTTCTTTTCTTGCTTTTCTTTTAGGTGGGGATCTGTTAAATGTCCCTTAACTTAGAATTTGAAAACGAATTTTGTTGGAATAGACCCACCCTTTTCTGCAAAAAATAAAAAAAAATAAAAATAATAAATTATATATACACACACACACACACACACACACACACACACACACATATATATATATAGGAAAACCAATGGGCATCCCTAAACATGTTTGGATTTATGTATAATATAAAGAGACTTTCTCTTTGCAAATAATTCATAATTAGTGTAGGATTTCAATTGTTTAGAAGTTTAAATGTGGTATTGTGACAAAATAGGAGCAAACCTATTTTTACCTCTTCCGAGCATATGGAAGATTGGCTAATCTAAAGTTAATGTCGACATGTAGAGTAGTGTTCAGTAGGTTCTAGTCTCTCACTCCTAGATTACTCACTGTGTCTTTTCTATAAGACCTACCAGTGACCCTTAGTTCTAATCTCTAGACCAAAATGATACAAGAATCTAGCATGTCACCCTGGAAACATCAATTTTATGCCCATCAAATCTTATCTCCCTATCAATTTGCATTCCCCCTCGGACGATCACCATTGTTCTTTCTAAAGTGAAATGTGATACTCACTAGTTAGATAAATCTTAGCCCTATATAGTCTTTAAGTTTCTCAACAAATTTTAACAAAACAAGCGGTCAATTTGTAAACTAAATGAAGTACCGGTGAAAATATCATCACCAATTTTTAGAATAAAAAAAAGTTCTAAACAAATCAAAACCGCCACTTGATTACTTCATATTTCAAGGAGATAGAAAGAAAAAAACTACTCATAACACACGGGGATAACAAAAAAAAAAACATATTTATAAAACTCATATCTAAAGTACAACACTTAAAGAAAAAGATATAAATACTTATTTGAAATGTTTTTCCAAGCACTCCTTTGAAGTTCTCTGACTTCTCTGACTCCAATAGACTCTTACAAGATGCACAAAACTCCAAAAATCATGAAAACTCACAAAAACTCCCTAAGGTGGCCTCCCACTCTATATGTGTGCCTCCCCTTCTCAAAACTACTCTAGAACTCTCTCCTAATGTTTAGAATTAATATATATATATATA